TATAATAAAGATAACGAAAGTTGAAGGAAGAATTTTGTAACTTGTTAAGGAAAGCTAGATAAATGTGTGCGTATAATGTCTTGTTAGAAAGAAATCGATTTGTCACTTAAAAAAATATATTTAAAAGTCAATATCGTAATTTTTATCAGAATAATTTACTCGCATAAGATATTATCATTATAATAGTATAAATCATTTATTATTAATACATTATTGTAGTGGGAGATTAATTTGAGAGCGAAATTATTGACTAAAAGCCTATTATTTTTAATCTCTTTTGTTCCAATAATTATGATATGAAACCTTTAAAGAGCCACCGTTTTATTTCATGTATTTATTACTTTACTATTATTTGTTAACATTGTATAATATGATCATATTAATTATTATATAGTTGACACATCAAATGTAGAATATATTTATTTTTTGTTTATACAGTTGGCAAAGTCAAAACACTCTACACGTAACTTGTTGCATGTAATAATTAATATGGCAACCCATCACTCTACGATCACTCACAGAACAACACGTCTGCCAAAAAATAAAAATTGACTATAAAAAGATAAATTGCTTTCAATTTTTTTAAAAAATCAAATACTATTTTTTAAAAATCTTTTTAATATATTTCAGGAATATTAAATGAAGGATCTAGTTTGAAAATCCGACTAATTTCTTTAGTCTCTCGAACCATTTAAGTATGTGATTTAAAAGGAAAAAGGATATCCAAATTATTAAAAATTATATGTAAATGTCGTTCGTTATATTTTTGAGATATTGTTACAGTGGTGTTTTTATTGTTCAAAAACTACAATATAAATATTCTTTTCTTTTACAGAAGACTAAACAGGGACCTGTTGCACAATATTATCCGTCAATCTGATATTTAATAAATGTCGGATCGGCGGATAAGATTATGACACTTGCATGTCCGTTTGCATAAAGAATATATGTGTTCTAGTTTTTAAACGATATGAACATTAATGTTTCAAAAATACAAAAAAAAAAAACGAAAATATTTCCATGCTATTTACGATAATTCAAGAATATATTTCTCTTTTTTCATCGCTTTAAATGAGGACTTCCTATTTTCAAAGTAAATGCAAAAATATAGGCAATAATTACTACGAGCCCTCTGTCTTCCACGTTTATTTAGAAGTATATATTCCAATAGGTCATGATCAAGTGTGTTTTAGAGTGTAATATAATGATAATTTTCCATATGATTGATAAATTGTCATCCACATATTCATGTTGTAGAAATAAAAATTTCGTTAAATTTACAAGGATTTATAATAGTAGTGATCAATTATAATGATATCATCTATATATTAATTGAGTTCTTCACTAATTTATTTTTTAAGAATTTTTTAAAATTTTACAAAGTTGTATATACTCTTTTTAAAAGTATTATTATAAGAATAAATTGCAATAATTGCTTAATTATATTTTGATTTTATAAATTAATAAATAATTTAAAATAATTTGGACGATTAATATGTGACGAAGAAAGAAATTACTTCCTCCTTCTGGTATTGTTTGTTATGTTGCGTTTTTCGAAAATTAATTTGACTAATTTTTAAAATTTAATTTATATCACATTAATTAAATATTTTAAACCAAAAAAATTTTTTTAAAACTATATAAAAAATATAATAAATTATAATTTTTCGCATATTAATTTAATAAATATTAATCAAAATTTTTAATAGAAACTACAACAAATAAACCGGATGGAGGGAGTAATTACTAACCTTTTTTGAACGATAAGGTGTAATTTAATGGACTTCTTGATATAGAAACTTTTCAACATTAATAATAATATTATTGTGTTAGTTTAGCAAGAGACCATATATATTATATTAAGTGAATTATTGGGCGGCACACCCGTTAAAAAAAATAATTAAGGACATAAATTATAAATTATTTTTACTATTAATTTTTTTGATTAATCTCTTAGAGATGTAATGTATAATTAAGAATCTTATTCCAGAAAGGGTAAATATGAAAAAGAGATTCTCAATAATTTTCTTTGAAATTCAAGAGATATTTATTAAATAATAATATTGTCTTTATTTTTCTTTACTTATTTATTTTGCTAAAAATAATTGTTCAATAATATTTCACTAGTTTGAATAATTAAGGCATAATTTACCTTATATATATTTATTTTTATCTTTGTTATTTAAAGATTATGCAGTATCAATATATTTTTCAAAACATTAATATATTCAATGTCAAATTAATACTGAACAACTATTAATGTATATGAAAAAATTTAACATTTTACCGATGACGATAATTTGAAATAATTCTAACTTTAATTTAATTTACTTCATATACCATAGATCGAAGGAATACTTATAAATGCTTTGTACTTTTTTTTTAATTTTATATATATATATATATATTTACTTTTGCTAGGTCCAATTATGATGAAGTCATTAAATAAGAAACCGTGTATCTTATTTTCCATAGTAGTATAACTTTGTTCTGTGTTTTGACTTTTTGTTATAAGTATAATTTATATAAATTATAATATTAGATATAACAAAGTCAAAATACTGTAACATTTAATATTGCAGAAATATGGCAACCCATCACTCCATTTTAACAAAGTCAAAATACTGTCTTATCTACATATGATCACCTGCAAAAAAAAAAAAATTAATTTTCATTTAAGTAGTAAATCCGACGTAGTTCAAAAATAATTTAACGATATAGATCTTTAATCGTTAAAATTTCTGATTCCGTCAAGAGGTAAATGCACATTATAGATAGCGTCATGAGCATAGCTACGAAACTATTCGTTAGAAAGTAATATTATATATGTGTGTTAAATTCTACTTTAAATAATGTACTATTTAAAATAAAATACTTTAACAAAAGTTATGCCTTCGACGAAATATAACGGATGTGAATTTAAATGAATTTTTTTTTGAATTTGAACTCTAAATACCACGATACTTTTTTAATTTTATTTTAATAGTCACACAGCTCGACCACTGAATAAAGCGTGTACAGATAAAATCATTATCTTTTAATAAAACTATACGCTTATATTAATATACACACACAAAGTGTGTACTTAATTATTACCTTAATGATCAATAATCCAACCACAGTATTTATTGCGAATATTAGTATTTAATTTGAAACGACGAACAACAAGAATATTAATGAAAAATGCTTTGCTGGCAGTAATTTTCATATTCTCAAATCTAATGTGGTCATAGATTGGAGGCAAAATGCAATTAAAAAAAATAAACAAGTAGGATTTTTATGGGTATTTACGAACATATGGAATTCCAAATTTAAATATATTTGGTAATTCATTTTTTATTTGTTCAAATTATGATGAACAAAATTATTTGATTCTTATCCTAACTTATAATAGCAAATACAATAAATATCACGTGGAATTTATTAAGATATGTGTAAAAAATAACTTATAATTCTTGAATACCACAGTTATATATATATAAATTACTATATATCAAAATGTAAAAATATTAGTTTCTTTTTTCTTTCAAATCTCATATTTTTTCGAGATTTAAAGATTGAGCTTTAAAATAAGATATTATGTCAATTGAGAAATGTGGGAAACAAAAAATTGGAGGGAAATGAAATTCATTTCGTCTTCATTAATTAGCAAAAGGAAAACTTCATTAAAACATTGGTCTCCCTGACGTTCAAAAGGTAGAACATATATTACCTGTATATTAACGGAATATACGTGTCATAATTTTATTTATCTATCCGATATTTATTAAATACTTCCTCTGTCCTTTGTTACTTGTCCACTTTTGAATCGACACACTTATTAAGAAAAATAATTAATGACGTAGTTAGTTTACCATCTTACCCCTATTAATTATGAAGTGAATGAAAAGTTTTACATTTTTCAAAGTAATTAATTGTGGGTATAATAGATAAAAAAAATTTGTCCTTTCTTGATTTGTCAAAATGGACAAGTAATCAGGGACAACTATATAAAAGGAAAAATGGACAAGTAATTAGGAACGGAGATCGTCTTTCTTTATCGTGAAGGACATATATATTGTAATTTTTAGAATTCATGAACACCAATATCTCACAAATATGATAAAAAATATTTATATACTATTTACGATAGTTTGAGACTACATTTGTTATTTTTTTCTAAAAAAAAAAAAAATAGGAAAAAGAAAGAAAGGGATGCATGTATATGCTAAAGTGCATTTATTATGAGCACCAACAAAATACAGCTATATTTTTTCTTTTAAGTTGTAAGGCACTTTGACATGTGAACTACCTGACTATTTAAACTAACATTTACCATATTCATTCTAATGTTCTCACCTTATATTTTTCTTCTTTATTATTAGTACTACTATTTTTAGTTACACAGTACCAATCTACCTGTCTTCATATTTATTTGGAGTTATTACTTTTTCCTATGTTGAATATTAAAAAAAAAAAAAAACTTGGTTATGTTGGTTGTTGGATATTAAATTGTTGATTTTAATTCATATACTTATTTTGGATTTTAGTACTCTATAGTTTGTACCTTTTAATTTATAGCAGTAAATTACCTTGCTGGAACTAGCTAACCAAAATATGCAAATTCACAGCTCATACTTGGCAGTTGAAAGTATTTATATCATATTCAACAACAACAAAAAATAGTCTTAGTTTTTCCATGAGTACTACATGTTAATATTTATTCGCATCATAATATTTATATCAAATTAATATATTTTATCGTAAAAATATATATATAAACACCTGATAAAATTGTGTTCAGATATATAATTTGCTCGAAAAGAAGTTAAATGTTATCAGTGGAAATCCCAACCAAGCCGAGTTAAAATTTTGCGGTTAAAGTTTAAATAGAATTTGGATATAACTTTAATCAAAATATATAATCAAACGCTTGCATATATTCATTATTTTTCTTATGAGAAATAAAAACATCAAACAAAAGAGGGAAAAAAAAAATACATACAATAAGAACAATTATGTAAAGGTAAAAAGAGATCCAAATTCCAATATTAATTCTCAAATATATTTACAATAGCAACTGTTAGTACATTAATAAAATAAAAATAGTCTAAATCATCTAAAATTTAATCGATCTCAAAATAAATAATAATAAAATCCGGTTAAAAGACAGAATACTAACTCAACCTCAGAAAATATACTTACTTGACTTATTTAATAAAATCATAATTAGAGAAGACCAATATGAAACTCTAATAACGTATTTCATCGATAAGAGCGAAGAATCGCACCACAAAATGTACATATAATAGCTCTCCAATTTTTCCAATAAAAGGGAACATAACAAAACCGTGTAGCAGTCTTCATGTCTGCTACACTAGCTCCGCCGCCGCAACGTGAACATGTTCCGGCGACGGGTTTGCTCTTACACACCTGTTTTGTTTGATCTACTAAGAAACAAAAACAGACCATCTTTTTTTTTCTTATAATGTTTTGGAATAGAGAGAGAAAAAAATTGGTACTTTGATGTTTTAGTGTTGAGGTTTTGATTTGATGAGTTTTATTAAAGAAAGGAAAGGTATTTATAGAGATGAAATTGAGAAAAAGGTACTGTAAAAGTTGAAGCAGAGACAGTTGGGACATTACTGTGGCATGGTACACTTGCTGACCTATAATTTGAATTTTAAGGATAAATATTTTTTTAATCTATGGTCAACATCATCTACATTATTTTTTTTTAAAATTAAAAATAATCGGTAGTCGTTATTATTTTTGATAGTCTTTGTTCTTCGAGTGAGCATTTTATGTGCATTGGATAGAACTCTAACTGTATAATAGTATGCAAAACACACAAGAAATTTTGAATCTCACTAGACGAGTTCTATGTGATATGCTCGATTCAAAAGGCATTAAAAAAATATTTATCGCAGATCAACCTCCAAACTAACTGAGTCATTCGAATCTAAGAGGGATTTATGAGAATCATTTTTACAGTAGATCTGAAAAGATTGTTTTCTTTTCCGTTTATATTGAAAGTGACGAAAACGTTCCAATTTAAATTGAATGGGATCTTATTTATGATTGTTATTTGTTAAGCTCTTGTTTAGTCATAGATTTTCAAAAATAAATTGAAGGCGTTGTTTGTTGATGAAATTTAATTTTAGATAAAATTAAATCAAGTTTCAAAAAACTTTTACTCACAAAACTTGAGGAAAAAAAAATTCAAATAAAAAGGCATGTTCAAATACAAACTTTAAATTTCGAAAAATATTTTTTTAATCCCAACATATAAAAAGTCAATTTTTTTCAAATTTCAACGAGAACTATCGAAAAGCTAACTTAATTTACTGGCTCCTTTATAGGTTTCTTTTGACTTAAGAACTAAGATTGTCCCTAAAATTAATGTAGGCTTTGGTTAGCCAACATATTGATGGGGACAATCATATATTATAAAATAAATTCGATAGTTTAGAAGAGTTTTCGCTTTAGAGTTAAAATGAATTTTTTGTTTTATGATTTAACCTATTGAGTATTGTTCGTATATACTTTTTAAAATTTGAATTCGTGATATTAATCACATGACGATAACTTTTTACTGTAAAGACAGAACTATTAACATTTACCTATATTCACCCACCCCACACTACCCAAATCCAACCCAACATATTTCACAGGGTCACTTTCAAAATATACTGAAATGTAACTTTAGGCAATTAATATATCATTTATAAAAGTAGGTATGCTAATTTTTAATTCAGACAAGTATTTTTCAAGAATGAAAATTGTCCAAACACCTATATTATTATAGACTTAAGTATAGCATTTGTGCTTTTTATAGACTAATGTCATGATCCGCGACTTTATCCTCTTACTTAGGTATAAAATTAAAGCTATCGATGAAGCGTTAGTTGAAGTCTAAGATCTAAGGTCCATGACACTAAGCACCCTTCTTTACCATTCCAAAGAAAGAATATAAAAAAAAAAAAACATATTATATTTGACCAAGAATTGGTAAGTGAAATTAATACAAGTTGATAATTGCATTTATGTTGGGGCCACCAATATGATAGTATATTGAACTGGATTTGGGTTGGCAATTGAGGGTCCAATTTTTTGGAGTCTGTATCAACCAATTAATATACCCATGTTGAGTTTTCAATTTTTTTGTCTTCAAATGGTTCTAGAGCCAATTGGCCATACTTAACTTAGGAGCATGAAAAGAAACATTCTGTCAAGTTGGGGTTTTTAGTTTTTATTTATATATATCTACTTGTATATATATTATGTTGAATCCAATGTGTCGGGTTCGGGTGTTAAAAGTATGGGAAAAATCTTTTAGTAGAGGTGAATCAAGGATTTAAAGATGACGGGGCACTAATAAAGGCAGGTATGACCCTCAATGTACACTTTGAGGTTGCTAGTTGGAATCTTGATTGAAGTTTCTAATATGTTTTTAAACATTGTGTAGGTGATATATTCTTCATATTTTTGTAACAAATTATAATTATAAATTTCATTTTGACAGCTAGTGGCTGGCAAATGTGATATAGAAAGGGGCAAACCATATGCCTTAACATTAAAGCAATATTTCAACACCACCAAATAGTTAGTTAGGTGCCTAAAGGGACCCTATTCCACTTTTTGGTTATACAAGTACAACCACATTCCTTGGGTTTAATTCAAATACAATACAACAAATATTTTTCGAATTGATTAGTCAAACATAAACTTAACACTCTTAAGAAAAATATATATTTTTTTCGATAACCATTTGTAATAACTAAAGTTTGGCCAAACATACTGAATATGAACTCATATGTAAAAGCGTACACCAACCAAAGAATGTTAGCCTAAAAGATACCAGTGTTAAACAAGGAAGGGGATGCAATTGGTTGCGAATACAAGAAATGTCTTGTACCAACAACCATTGCTCATTCTAACAAATAATAAATCAACTTACGTCAAGAATTTCCCCTTGAAGAAAATTGGAGGTGCCGCAGCAGCAACAGTGCAGAAACCAATGTGAAACTACAAGATGAGAAGTACACACAGTGCTCAGTAAACAACTCAACAGTAGACTAACCTTGATTATCAAATGATGTGAATAGATAACTCTTTTGACAAAAAATTAAACACAATATGATAAGACGCAGTCAAAGACATAGACTAACCTCTGTCGCTACTATCCATTAAGGAAAACTGGCTCCATAAATTCCAATTTGAGCATCCTGTTACACATTCAAATATTATTGTACTTGATATACATGACACTCTTAAGAAGCTAAAACTGATATAAATACTAGGTGAGCCAATTGCTTACGTGTTTAATACCGTGAGCCCCTAATGCAGAACCAGTCTGCAAAGTCACTTCATAAGCTTCTTCGTAGGTGTTTTCCAGTTATAAGGACTCCACTATTTTAAAAAGGAAGATGGTGAGTAAATACAGAGAAATATTTTATACTCCGCTAACACTAAGTCACTAACGATGACAGAAATCTAGATAAGTAGACAACATTGTACTTCACCTTTCCACCCTTAAAATTACACCATCCCAACATTCTATTCCCTGGATATTTTTCAACAACTGTTCGGTTAATCAAAAAAATAATTTTTTACCTTTTTCCTTTCAATCCTCGTAACTAAACTGAAAGCAAGGATAAACAACTATGCTTTACTAACATTGGAGATGACAATAATGGAGAAAGCAAACAAGAAAATCTAATAGCACTTGTCTTTTGTCCCTTTCTTTGTTGAAGATGTGATTAAGTAAATAAAAGCATGTTCGACTCCGTAACAGCTTAAGCTATAGAGGTCTGTAGATTCAAGTTAAGCCACCACCCATCATGAAAAGGAAAAAATAAAGAAGAATATTCACCTTCACAATTCAACAGAATTTATTACTTCTACTAATCCTAAAACACATTACCATCAGTTCAAAAGGTTGCAGAAGCTGAAGGAAATGGGGAATGTTACCTAAGGAGTCGCCAAGCTGTACACAAATCAGGATAAGCTGGAGTAAACCAATTTTAGATATTGGATGTCGATAAACAAGACAAATAGATGGTTGTCCATTTTTGCCTTCTTTTCCTTCTTCCACCTTCACACCAAACATGGTCATGGTCATGCTCATTCTTCCAATTCTTCTGACTCAACCCAAAAGGCTCAACTCGAATTATATAACAAGCAAGGCCACATATAACGGCACAAAATAGAAGCTAGTCAATTCAAATTACATAAGATATGTCCAGAATGCTACTGAGCACAAGGCCACACTAAGCCTTGATGGGTTTATCAACCTTCCAAATCTTCTCCTTCGCCACCTTCAGAAACTTCATCCACAACACCTTCAGATTCAGATTCTGTAAGCTTCTTCACATCTAAATCGAGTTCCATTTCCTGACTAACCAAATCAGCAAGGTCAAATCTGCCTGCATCACTATAGGCATCTATAATTGCGTTGTATAATGACTCATTCGGCTCGATATGTCCATATTTTAACTGGCCATATATCCGCTTTATACCTTCAACCATGCCAGCTTTCCCGTAGCAACCTACAAGATTAATAAATGTGACAATATCTGGTTCCAGTCCTTCATCTTGAATTCGCATAAATATTTTTAGTGCCTCATCAATTTGGGATGAAGCTCCATACACATATATTGCAACATTGTAAGCAAAGAGATGGAGTCCCAATCCTGGTTGTGTGATAACGCTGCAGGATTCAATTGCAAATGTGTGCAAGCCTACTGCAGAGTAAACAGCACTTATCACTGCCTGTCTGGCATAAGGTTTACCTTCTCGGTAAGACAACTCGAGCTGTCTAACTGCCTCTACCGAAAAACCTCCCTTTTTCAATATTGTGAATAAAACCTTAAATGTGCCCCCATCTGGCAGAAGTTTCCGGTTAATCATTTCATGCAGCAATTCCCCACATTCAACAAGCTGCCCATTCGTGGCATAACATGCCATTACCTTATTGAATGTCATACAATCTCTTAAAAGTCCAGACTGCTTCATCTCCTCTGCTATCTCAATGGCTTCATCAAGCATACCCATATTCTTGTATGCATAAATCAAGGTTGCAAACGTAACACCATCAGCCTGACCTTTCTCCCTCAAATGATTAAATAACATTTTTGCTTCCGAGACCATTCCAAAGTCTGCATACAGATTGAGCATACAATTAGATGCAATGATATCAGGACCTCCATGCAGGTTTTTCATCTGCTCATACAGTTTTTTCGCTCCCTCTACTGATCCAAGCTTACTATAAGCCTTAATCATTGAAGTCAAGATTATCTGATTAGCTTGAATCCCAGAGTCATTCATGAAACGGAAATAATGCATAGCTTCTTCAAATTTACCAGCTTCAGCAAATCCATCAATCAAAGTACCATAAACAACCTCATTCGGTTTTACACCTGCTTTGGACATTTCATCAAAGACATCAACAGCATCAGAAAGCCTACTCATGCGCACATAACTAGCAATTAGTGCAGAGAAGGTAGAACATGAAGGTTTAAATCTCAATCCTTGCATTTCGGCTAAGAGCTCTTTGGCTTGGTCAACTAAATCACCCCCACAGAACATTTGGATTAGAGAGTTATAAGTGCACTCATCTGGCCAAGTCCCTTGGCTTTTCATTCCCTTGAAGAGTGAGAAAGCTTTATCATATAGCTTTGCGATTCCATATGCCTTGATCATGACATTATATTCTGCAATTGCTTTCTTCTGAATAACCTTGTCTCTTCTACCAAAGAACACATCCTCGGCTTCTTCCCAGAGTCCCTTATTAGCATACGCATCGATGATGGCAGCATAAGCTGGCGATGAGAACCCACCATTCAGTTGACACTTCTCATAAATTGTCTTTGCACGATCGATCAACCCTTCATTGATATACATTCTCATAATAACAGGAAGAGAGTGTTCGTCTATATACATACCTAAACTTTCAATTTCACTAATCACATTTTCAACCTCCTGGACCATATTTTGCTTGCATAGTGTTCGAATAATAGCCCTACAAGTCACAGCATCAGGGAAAAGTCCCGTCCTCCTTATCTTTCTATACCACTGAAGAGCCCTATCAATCTTAGCTGCATTAGCATAAAGAGATAGGAAGATGTTGTATGTTTTAGTATCAGGAGATATTCCTCTTTCCTCCATCTTATTCAGCAATGCTTCCGCCTCTTCCAAGTAGCCATGACTTCCACAAATAAAGATCATAGTGTTGAATGTTACAGCGTCCAAAGCCACACCGGATTTCAACATCTCATTAAACACATTCGCAGCGTCCTTCAAGCGACCAGCCTTTCCATACAAATCAATCAGAGTATTGTAGGTGGCAGTCATTTGAGGTTTCCTACAAGTTTTCTCCATTTCTAAAACTCTAGACGGGTTCCTCCCTCCGGTCCTGAAAAGCTCAGTCAACAAAAACTGCTTCAAACTAAAAGGTTCAGAGTTATCTATAGAATCCAAATCAAAATCATCCAATTCAATCTTCCCAGTACACCAATCCTTATAAAACCTATCTGCTCTATCATATTCCCCTGCATCCTTTAAAACTTTAACAACTGTATTCATCGTAACCTCATCCGGGAAAATTCCCCTCAACTTCATATGTTTAATCCATAAAAGAGCCTCCTTCACCAACCCTGCTTTCCCATACACATCAACAAGCATTCCATAAGTATTATTCGTTGGAAAAACACCATTCTTTGCCATTTCAATCCAACAAAGTCTCAACTCATCCCATTTCTTAGCTCTACCTAGTGCCCTAAGTATAACATTATAGTGAATTACATTCGGAACATAATCTTTCTGCGATTTCATCCACTCGAATACCCGAAGAGCTTTTTCCCAATTACTCTGCTCTTTAAGAATCACAGTTTGCTCTTTAGGACTAAGCTTACCATAATACAAATTAAGGGTTTTCTCAACATCACTTTCTGTGCGTAAAGAACGCAAAATTGAAGGCAAAATACCTCCATATCCCTTCTTTTTACCATTAATAACCGTTCTTGAAGGTAAAGCTTCAGCCTTTGAATGACACTGTAGCTTAAACCCTATAAGAACCCTATCTTTATCATCTCCTTTAAGTTTTAGCTTGTGGGGTTGCAGAACCTTGATGTTTATGTGTAATGGGTGGTCAGTTTTGGATGAAGGTTGAGATTTACAGATATGTTTTTGGGTAAAACTGTGCAAGTTAAACCCTAGAAAAACCCTAAAATTGAAATGAGAATTAAGGTTTTGAGGTGAAGAAATAGGTTGAGAATGAAGTGGAGTTTCATAAGATGTTCCAATCACCATGGAAGTTGAAGTTTGAAGCACCATTTTTTTTGCTTCTTTACAGATGAAAACAAGAAAATAAGCAAATTTATCAACTCATTAACAACTGTAACAGCTGAAAAAAGGAAATAAGCTGCCGGCCAGAAATAAAGAGAGGGAAAAGATATTCCTAGTGGAAAATAAGTTGATTTTTTTGAAGATTTTTTTTTTGTTGAAAAAAAGAATAACTTGAAAAAAGAAATTTATATATGAGCCGAGGATTTCTTAAAAATAACAATTATTTTTTATTTTTACGAAATAATAATAAAATTTACATTTATTCTATACTTGCTAAACTTTTGTTATGAGATTTTACTGGTTGCGTTTGAAGATTTTTTTGAGCAAAGAGGGACTTATTCTTCCACTGAAATAGACTCACAATATATTTTTTTTTTTTAAAAAAAAGACAAAACTACAACTTGTTTTAAAGTTTTTTGGACCAAATTTTTTTTCTCCAAAAAAAAAAGATTGTTATTACAAAAAGCTTTTCCAAATCTTTGTGCTATTTACCATTATTCATTTTTATCTTCTGGAAAAATACAGCAAGACAATTTTTAACCAACACATTTATGGGATAAGAATATTCGCAGGTAAATTTATACTTTAAATTAAAGCATATGGATGGCCAAATTGGACATATTTGAGAATTGAGAGAGGGTGGAAAAGAAAATTTTCAACAATAATCGATTTGATAAGAAAAACTTCCAACTTACTTGCAAAACATGTTGTATGGCTACGAATCTGTGAAATTAGCTATAGTTTTGACTCTCGAAATTTGAATACCGCCATATAAATAATTCAGAAAAATGGCACAATGAGCATCAAATTACTATAAATGTCCACATAACATGAGTCTGTTCAAGTGTTACTCAATTGATATCACTATGTACTCCAGAATTACATTTGCATCATTTAGGTAAGTTGTAGTGATGAAAGCAATCAAAGAATTTAACAAACACGAAGACCAAAACTGCATATGCTTGAATGACCCTACAATAATGTCGTCATAGTGCAGCCATCATAGTCGATCTTGCAGCCTCTTTCTTCATCTCTGCAGCCTTTCCACTTCCGCGGAAATACATGTAGACTTGCTGCACAAGGTGGAGCAAAATTGAAAGATGCTTGGGGTGAGACAGAACCAAACAAAGTAGTATGACAAAGAGAGGTAGATGACTGAACCTGTATAACCCATATGCTCATCAATGTTTCAAGACAGAAGAATCCAGCTCCAATGAAGTAGAATATCTGCAAAATGAAGCGAATTTACAAGCATAATGTACGATCTCATGGGATTCTTGTATAAACAATGGGTAAAGAATTCTAAGAAGAGTTGAGATTTGTTAATATATCAAATAGCATGAATACGAACTCAGATGATATATACGGTTCAGTGGTGCTTTTAAAGGTAAACTAAAATGATAAAAGCTTACCCCAACCAAAGCATGCCAGCCTAAAAGATCAATTGCAGGCAAGATACCACTGTTAAACAAGGAAATGAAAAAAAGAATGAGCCATTATTATTTTAAGAAGAAAGCATCATATTATCAACGAAAACATAGTTTAGCTAAAGAACTAAATATAACTCAACAGCCAAACATGGTTTGTACCAGCAACCATTGCCCATTTTGACATAAAAGGTAACTTACGTCAAAGATTTTCCCTTGAAGAAAATTGGAGGTGCCACAGCAGCAATGATGCAGAATCCGATGTGAAACTACACGTTGGAAAAAAGGTACTCAGAGTCCTCTATAAACAACTCAGCAGTTTAAAGAAAAACCAAAAAGAAAATGTAGTATTTACCACGTAACTTAAGAAAAACCACCCAAACTTCAGCGCACTATCAGTCCTGCAAACAAAATGGATATCAGAATATACTCTTTTGGAAGGGACAATCACACTACGGAAATTAAAAGAAAAATGATATAATCGATTCCCTCCTATAGGTGAGCACACAACTAATTCTCCACACTAACTAAGGAAGCACAAATATGTACCTCATCGCACGATAGAGAGGCCGATACCACAATACATAGGCTCCTGGGACACCTGATATTAAGTAGATAACAGCAAGCAACCAGATAGTTGGACCTACAACAACAAAATGCAAACCTTAGACGGTTAGTTTTCACAAAGAATTAGAGAGGTCAGTAAATGAAGTTCCAACGCAACCAACCTTCTCCTCTGATCCAAGCTAAGGTGACAGCAACAAGGTTCCATACAAGACAGGCTGCCAGACCTGCAATTTACCATGTCCAATGTCACTCAACCATATGAGCATTAACTAAAGAAATCAGTTACAAGAAAGTAGTCTGATTGAACAATAAAAGAAAGAAAATGACTGTCATGAATCATTCTAACAAAAACCATCTAGAAATTTTTCTTCATTCTCTTTTATCTCAATTTGAACTGGTATTTTGAGATGTACAGCTACAAGTGATGTGAACTAGTATGCCTTTCAAATCTTTACCCCAAATTCCAAAGACAATAGCAGGCACTTAGAGGAAACCGTAGACCCTCTTAATCCATGTGTCACTAAAACCATTTGCACAAAAAGCTTGTCTAAAAGATAGAGTTTATGTTTTAAATTCTTTGGAAGCATATGATACTATTACGCAAGAACACTTTTTTTTTTGGAACATAGTCAACCAAGAAAGTAGTGAATAATAATATACAGAACACTTTTTTTTTTGGAACATAGTCAACCAAGAAAGTAGTGAATTATAATAATATGCATCCAAATCTTTTTTTTTTTTGGAATATTGTTAAAGTAATATGCATCCAAATCTTTCAGGTCAGTTTAACCTATAAGGTTGTAGATTACTTATTGGAAAGGTCAAGTTAGAGGCACTAATAGCATCCATCGAGAAGATATTTATAGGGAAGACATGTGGACATACCCAACAGTGTAGTGAATGCAACATATTGCAACTTCTGAAGATGAATAGGAATTTCATTTGCGATATCGTGATGAATGATGGGGAAGAAAGGTGGCCAATTCTTGTCTTCAATCACTACACCAGCTGAAAAAGGAAAAAGAGAGATCGGAAATAAAATCAATTAGCAGAGGGGAAAAATAAAGCAAAACTCTTGAATTAGTTCAAAGACTGTAAAGACAAACGTGTATACAGTGAAAACTACCTCTTGTTATTGCATCCTCCTTCCTTTTAAGTTCCTATATTAAACCAATAAAACTGACCATTAAATAATGTACAAAATGCCTAAAAGGAAAAGACAGCCTGCAGCACCTTGAACCAAATAAGAGATAATATCATCTAGAGCAAGACAACAATAATTATTTGGTAAGAGAGAATCTTACACGGCTTTCCTAATTAAAAAGCAATAGAATAGAAAGAACTTGTGTTTTCTATTGTGGAAGATATGCAAGAATAAATGTAGAGTAACAACCCACCTGTTCTCTTTTCTTTAATTCAGCCTCTTTAGCTTGGAGTTCTTTCTCTTTCTTCTTCATATCCTGATTAGTCATATGAGTAAAATACATGAAAACTCAAACCTATACTCCAAATGAACACAGGTATAGTAGTCACAGGGAAGAAAAAAGTGCAAACTAAATTTATCAAATCATAATTTTACATTTGAACCATCAAGAGGAATATCAACGGTTGCGCCACGATCATAGCCAGCAGGTTCATGAGGAAGAGGATAAGGCCTCGAGTTTGAAGCAGCAGGAACACTTCCATTATTCTGCAGAATTCAGTAAGTACTAAGTGCCATAATATGCACAAGTAAGGTACCCGTGTACCATTACTAAGACTAAAAAGAAGAACATGCAATGGATATTCTCACTATTCAAGAATGAAGATGAAGTCTTGCATAATATGTACACAAGAAACAATTCATCAGCTTTTACGAGATTGAAAATTTCCTGCTCCAATTATTTCAGAAATACAAATCAAACTAGATTGATAATCCCAATGATGAAGTCAGTAAGTTACATTGTGGACAGAGGACAAGGTGTTAAATTAAACACAAATGCATAAACATCAGCCCTTAGTTGTACATTTTGCTAGTTGGGTGTGTAGACAAAATTGATTTTGAAATAGCAAAGGAGACAAACTACTTCCCCTCATTTTGCTGACCACACTAGTTGCAAATGCACTACCATTTTGTTAAATACATTGACAGGTCATCAGAAGACCATAGACGCTAGTATCAAGATACTTGGTTGGGACCCTAGTATCAATAATAAAATCAAATCCCAATATCTCTATGGTGGTAAACTGCTACACTGGCTAACTAGGATGATCCACACTCTGGTAGGAATTGCTTCCTTTTTCCGAGAGATGAGGCTTGATTTATGAGAAAACTTTAGTGTATGATCCACCTTTTTCAGCAGCATTTGGGCCTTTCATGGGGTTAGAAGAATTTTGCACGTTTATTACATAGGATTATTTAGAATTCAAGAAAATGTAATAATTTCTCTTTCCATGTCTTCAGCAATTCACTTTTCAAATGAGAAAACTCCCGAGAACTTTGGAAGAAAATCTTATTGTGTTCATATAAAATGGCCCACTTCTATTGACCCTTATGTAGAGGTCCTCGGTCCTAAAACAAGAAAAAATATGAAGCACATAAAAAACTAAAAAACAAGAAAAGAAAAGGAAGCACGATTCAAGTAATAATTTGTGGGAAAGAGCAAAACACAAATGGAAAAATGTAAGTTCCATCTGCCATAGTTAAATCAGCACTGAGCACAATATCCATAAATACTAAACAACAACCAATCATCCCAAAGATGTTATACTGAATACTATTATCCCAATTTTTTTTTACTGAGACTGCAGTCACATTGTATTATTCTCACACTAGTGAAGCACAAAGGCAACAAAATTCCCACCCTTATCCTCCTGCTCAAAAAACTGATATTTTTTCTTCGGGTGTGTTCTGTAAGAGGGAAAACATCCGGTTTTCTCATGTTCGGTTGGTCAAAACTCTCGGAAAACATTTTCTCTAAAAAAACAAGTTCTTTAAGAATGACTTCCCTAATGGAAGTAGGGAAAACAAGTAGCATTCCACATTGAGTGTCCTCTCCGCCCTCCATCACACCTCATCTTCACCCCAAACCGCGTAGCCCCCATCCCACCGAACCACCTCTCATATTATTTATCTAGATTATACACAAATGTTTTTAGAATAATACTTTATGCTAGTGTACCGGACACAAGAAAATAAGT